CCACAGGTGGTACCCGTACCACTGGTTGAAAAGCCTTGTTCTAGTCCAACCTCCTTCTCAAGCATCATTTCAGACAAATGGCTGTCCAATCTCTTCTTAAAAACCTCCAGTGTTGGAGCATTCACCACTTCTGGAGGCAGGTTGTTCCACTGATTAATTGTTCTCACTGTCAGGAAGTTTCTCCTTAGTTCCAGGTTGCTTCTCTCTTTGGTTAGTTTTCATCCCTTGCTTCCTGTCCTGCCTTCAGGTGCTTTGGAAAATGAGTTGACCCCCTTTTCTTTGTGGTAGCCCCTCAAATATTATTGGAACACTGCTATCATGTCAAAAGTTGCTGAACATTGAAAAAAAGAGAAAGGAAATCCTCTTGTGAAATATCCTTGCTTTATCTAGAGCACAATGGCGTGGGGGGGGGGACGGGGACTGTTATTCAGCAGTTATGTTGACAGTTGGCAGTTATGTCGGTGTCATCAGCTGGGATTTGACCAAAGTAACAAATGATGTCTGAGCCTCTGGGGGCTTAAAATGTGCAATGCTTTCCACCTCCAGAGTTGCTGGTTTAAATGGACTGCGGGTTCTATCTCTAATTTTCTTCCATGCCTTCAGCCCCATAGAAAAGATAGCGAATACGGGTAATCCTCCACTTACGATCACGATTGGGCCCAAAATTTATGTTGCTAAGTGAAACATAACCATCATAAATACAGTATGAACCAATGGCAAAGCATCCGAATTTTGATCACATGACCAAGGGGATGCTGCAACAGGCATAGCTGTAACAAATGGTCATGTCACTTTTTCCAGTGCTGTTGTAACTTTAAATGGTCACCAAATGAACTGTTGTAAGTCGAGGACCAGCTGTAGTGCAAAAAAAGGGAGAGATGCATAACTGGAAAAATGTTCTGAGGAGAAAAAGGCACAATTTTTTTAAAAAAAGTCAGAGTCAGGATAAAATTATGTATAACTGGGTTTAATAGAGAAGGTGGTATTGGGTTGATCCCGATCAAACTGTGGAATTTATGGCTATGGAGATTCTCAGTCATTCAGGTCATGGTTATTCCAAAGTCGTTTTTTCCAAAAGACAGCTGGACTTTCTTGCTTTTTATCTTACATTGTTAGGGTCTTCCTGCTTGAGTAGGGGGTAGACTAGAAGACCTCCAAGGTCCCTTCCAGCTCTGTTCTAATTGATTGATATTTCATGGAGGAAGCCTCCCAAGCAGTTTGGAATGTGTCTTTATTGTGTATTGAACATTTACCCTGAAATGGGAGGCTTCTCTTGTCAATAAAAATGAGATTGAATGTCAGTCAATATTTATAAGCTCTGTTGGTTCTTCCACATGTTTGAATCCTTTCTCTGGACATTCAGGCTACCTCACCCTAGCCACAAAAAGAATATCAGTAAAGCAGTTTGGGCAATAAAAGTCAGCTCCAATAATCCAGCAGCAGTAGCAGTAAATCTGTCAACAGCCTTCTAATAAATGCCTATCTATCTAAACAATATTGTTTAATCTGTTGGGAGGATCCTTTGATTGCCTCTGAATAGGTGATTCATCCTTTCAAATCAGTTTGTCTACCTGCCTCTTTTGCTGCAAGAACAATTTATGGATTATGTTAATAGAGTTTCTTTTAGCATGCAAACACATTTTTGGAAGGAGACGTCTACCTCTGATTTTGAAACATTCATTATCAGCCTTTGAATTGTTGTAATTTTTTTGTTGTTGTTTAAGGGCAATAAACAGACAAGGAATAATATCACTGAGGAATATAGGTAGTCCTCGACTTACAACCACAACTGAGCCCAAATTTATGTTGTTAAGCGAGATGTGTTAAGTCAGGGCTTTTCAACCTTTTCACCCATTGTACCACTTTTAGGATATGGCAACATCCGAGTATCACCAGACGCCTAGAAAGGTGTCAAAAACTTGATGACCAAAAAAAAAAAGGGAAAAAGTGATAAAATACAGGTAGTCCTCGACTTATAACAGTTCGCTTAGAGACTGTTCGAAGTTACAATGGCACTGAAAAAAGTGCCCCCAAGCCACAGCCGAGCAAGATACCTGCCTGCCCACCTGGCGGTGCTCTTCCTTCTGTCCAAATGTAAATCACAAGACCCTGGAGATGCTGCAACATTCCAGCTGATCAGTGCTTCTTCTGGGCTCAGCCGAAGTACCAGGATCAGTGCTGCTTTCCAGCTGGAGCCTAGCGCTGATCCTGGTGCTTCCGTAGAGCCCTGACAACCCCAAAGAAGTGCTGATCCTGGCGCTTCTACTGAGCCCTGACAGCCCTGCAGCTCCAGCTATCTCTTGCTCAGGCTGCTTTTCTAGGATGGTCGCATACCACCTGCCAGGTGCCAATGTACCACAGGTGGTACCCGTACCACAGGTGGTACCAATACCACTGGTTGAAAAGCCCTGTGTTAAGTGATTCCCCCCATTTTACGACCTTTCTCACCATAGTTAAGTGAATCACTGCAGTTGTTAAGTTAGTAACACGGTTGTTAAGCAAATCCATCTCCCCCGTCATTGACTTTGCTCATCAGAAGATCACAAAAAGGGAACGCATATAACCGTCACAAATATGAGTCGGTTTTCAAGCAGCTGAATTTTGATCATGTGACCATGGGGATGCTATAAAGTTCGTAAGTATGAAAAACAGCCATAAGTCACTTTTTTCATTGCCGTTGTAACTTTAAACAACCACTAAATGAATGGTTGTAAGTCAAGGACTGCCTGCATTTGAATATGTGCTGCAATATCTTCTTTTCTCTGTTTATGCTCCTGCTCTCCATTTGTTCTTTCTGCTCCTGAGTACATTCTGGAACAACACAGCCACTTAAGAAATTATAGCGATGTCTGTATTTACATTTTTCTTTTGCGTCTTTCTGTCTGCCTTCCTTGGGCTTGGTAGAAGCATGTTTTTTTTACTGGGGTGGTGTTGGTAGTGGTATGTATGCCAAAGGTCCCATCCATTTGTCTCTTGACAGTGCAAAGTATTTTTCACAAAGTATTTTACCCAGGAATCCTACTTTTTAAAATTCTCTTTCTTTGCAAATTTAATTGAAGGGCTAGGCAGGACAAAAATAAGTTGAAGAGGGGAGAGAAGGATAAAGGGAAGGAAGGGAAGGAAGGATGAGAAAAGGAGAGGAAGGAAGGGAAGGTTTAAGAAAGGGAAGGAAAGGATGAAGGACGGGAGGGAAGAATGAGGGAAGGGATGGGAGGATGAGAGAAGGGAAAGGGAAGCAAAGAATGAAAAAAGAGGGAGAAGAAAGAAAGTAGAGAAGGTGGTGGAAGGAAGGAAGGGAGGGTTGGATATGGCTAACCTAGGATTATATACTGTAAATAGAAAAATAATTGTAATGGCAAATGAACTTCAATAATGTCGACATTTTCTTACTTAAGAAGAGAAACAGAATGACTTTTTGTAGGCAAAAATGCAGTGGGAGTGGGACTGACTTTTGATTTCCTGCTGGCTTCCCCATTGACTTTGCTTGCAGGAAGCTAAATCCTGTGTTGGAAATCATGAGCACGTGACTGTGGGATGCTGCAAGGACCAGAACTTTGCAAATAAGACTGAATTGAACATTGTGGGAATTTCAATTCCAGAGATGTCCCGGATTTTTAATGCATTCCTTAAGCTAGTTAGTGGCTTTTAGGGACCTTGCTTCAAAAATTGTTGCAGTATAGCGCAGCGTTTGAGTTCACATGAAGGTACAAACAGACAAACAGTGATGGATGGATGGATGAAATAAATAGACAGATAGATAGATGCTTTTCCTGCTTTTTAATATTAAAATCAATTTCAAAGCCAGCCAGTTTGAATTTTTGATTGGGAAAAACTGATGTTAAGCCTGATGATGTTTTGTCAAAATGGGAATGGATTTCCCTTTGATCTGTTGTATAATGCTGATCTGCTTTGTTGAAGGTGTTCTCTCAGCTAAGTTTTTGCCTTTCCTGGCATTGCTTCTCCTTTTTTTAATATATATTTGTTTATTAGCTTTACATTGTTTAGGTTAGCTGCGCCAAATACCGTTTTGCAGTTCATGTTTAAGGTTTTACCTCTGTGTATAAAAGGCAGAAGGGCGTTTGAGGAGTCCCTTTATGGGAACAGTTGTTTTGCTTGAAAAATATCCTAGGGAAAGAATCTTTAGTATGTAATTGAAGTTTGCACACGTAATCAGTGTTTGTAGATGATGTTAAGCTGGCACATTTTGATTAAAGGCTGTGTTTGAATAACAAATAGGTACAGGTAGTCCTTCACTTATGCCCAAAATTGGGAGTGGAATTGAATGAATCACGCCAGTTGTTAAGCGAATCCGTGACTGTTAAGTGAACTCTGTGGTCGTAAGTGTGATCCCATTTTTCCAACAGGTTTTTGCTGGAAATGGGCAAAAAAAAGGTTGCATATCTGTCATGGAATTACGCATCAGGTGTCCAAATGGAGTCAGAGATATTGCCGTGAGCTTGTTTTATATAAATAAATATATTTTATATCTGTATATACAGCAAATAAGATAGTTGGACAAAGTGGAGCATCATGAGATAAATCACAGATCACACAGGAAAAAAAAGGTGGGAAAAAAGGGAAACTCCCCCTCCCCCTCCACAGCAGCCAATCACACTGCAGATTGCCTCATGAGGGAGCCAGCACTCTCCAATCAATCAACTCTAACTGTGTGTTCTAGCTCATTGCACAATTTCACTACTACTAAATTTAAATAACAATATCACAATTATGTGACTATAGGAAACTGCAGCCAGTCATAAAGGCGAGTCATTTGCCAAGTGCCCGAATTGCGATCATGGGAATAGTGTGATGGTCATAAGTGTGAGGACTGGTCATAAGTGCGAGGACCTAACTTTTTTCAGCACTGTCATATCTTTGAACAGTCACTAAACAAATGGCTGTAAATTGAGGACTAGGTGTAATTGTTGCTAGTATTGTCTAACTTCTCCTTTTTGGAGCAAATCTGCCTTCCTAATTTTGTATTTGTGGTTCTTTTTCAGGAAGTGGAGCAACAGCTGTGGTCCAAGCAGCCTATTGTACCCCTAAGAAGGAAAAAGTGGCAATTAAAAGGATCAATCTTGAGAAATGCCAGACCAGCATGGACGAGCTCTTGGTACAAAAATTCCACCCATGTTCTTTCACAATTAATTTAGGGTCTGTAAATCACTATGATTTGGGGTTGATGGTAATAATTTGTCTTGAGCCAGGGATTGGTTGGAATTTTAGTGGGTCCCTTAGTGGTTTTTTTAAATTAAACATTAGATGAGGTAACGTTATTGCTGTTTTGATTCTTTTATTGCTCTATTGTTTCCTTATTGTTTGCAAGCCTCTAATGGCAGTTTTATATATTTTTTAATTAGGTTTCTTGAATATTTTTTGTTGTAAACTGCCTAGATTTAACTTGTTGAATTGGTTATAGCTAGATAAATATTTTAAATAAAGGAACGAATGTTCAGTATATAAAATAATCTCCTGTTTATCCTGTATGAAAAACAAGGTGAAAAGTATAAGTTGCTTTTTGAATGGTTTGCTAGAGAACAGTTAAAAAGGAAACACATATGATAATGAGAAAAAGAAGTCTGATCAGTCTCCTTTATGCTACTTATTATAAGCTTCCTATGGCAGTTAGGGATCCAACAGGCTTTGTGGTTTAGTTCAGACTTCAGTGTGAATGAAGTTATTCCCGCTTAAGCCACAAGGAGGATTGTGACTCCAGTTCTATTTTGAGACTGCATAAGTGCTAGGATATCTGAGTAAGTGCCATCACTTCTGTTTATTTTCTGCTAAAATAGTCAAGCCACTTATTGGTTTTCAAGATTTACCAATTTAGGGCTAAAAGACTTATTCAGCAAGCTGACTAATAGAAAATATACCGTACTTTCCTGCGTATAAGATGACTTTCTAAAGCGTTGAAATCAGCGCCGAAATCGGGGGTCGTCTTATACGCCGGAAAATACGGTAGATGGTTTAGAGCAGTGTTTCTCAACCTTAGAAATTAAGAATGTATGGATTTCAAGTCCCAGAATTCTGGAAGTTGAAGTGCATCCATTTTAATGTTGCTAAGTTGGGAAATACTGGTTTAGTGTAGAGATTCAAACAAATGCCTTAATTGTGACAAACTAGACACCCACAATTAATTTTACCTTCTAGGATAAGATTTGCCAAGTTTTGCTCAGTCTTGATTTGGTTTGCACAGCACATTCTGCAGACCTTCAATTACTGACCATAATGGGTGGGTTCCTACAATACAGTAAGCCATTGGTTTTCAAACTTGGCAACTTCAAGATGTACGGACTTGAAGGCTGGCTGAGGAATTCTGGGAGTTGTAGTCCACATATCCTAAAGTTGCCAAGTTTGAGAAACACCGGTCTAGAATAAGTATGGAATAGTCAGGCTCAGCAGAAACCAAAACCCCTCAGTTTTGCAATGTTTGGTGTTAAAAATTCCAGAGGAATTGAAAAATCCCCTTTTTCTTCTCTTAGAAGGAATTATCCTCAAGAATATTTTTTCCAGGTCTCTGGAAAGCCTTGAAATGTAATCCTTTGTAAAGCTCAAAACTTTCTTAAGAATCAGTGTGACCTCCCCCGACCTTGGTGCTTCTTGAGTCTTCACAACTAGGAGGTGTTTATAATTAGCAAGCTGACATCTCAAGATGAATGCTGTCTTCACGCACAGTGGCAGTGTTTTAAATTTAAATTTGGAAGGCTAGGCTTTTTGTTTGCCAGGATGAACAAATAGAAATATGCTTGTATAACTGGAGGATATTAATGAAACCAAGGTTGTTATCTCTGCAGACACGTCTCCCCAAATTCAGGCACTGGGTGAAATCAAGTAGTAGTTGGGTATGGACTTAGAAGTACAGGTAGTCCTCAGCTTATAAGAGTTCATTTAGTGACTGTTCAAAGTTACAACGGCACTGAAAAAGTGACTTATGACCATTTTTCACACTTATGACTGTTGCAGCATCCCAATAGTCTTGTGGCCAACATTTAGACGCTTGTCAATTAGTTCATATTTATGATGGTTGCAGAATCCCTTTTGCAGCCTAGAATAAGGGTAGTCAACCTTGGCTCTTTTATGACTCGTGGACTTTAACTCCCAGAATTCCTGAGCCAGCAGGAATTCTGGGAATTGAAGTCCACGAGTCATAAAAGAGCCAAGGTTGACTATCCCTAGCCTAGAAGATCGATTTTAGGGTCCATAAAATCAATTTTACATTAGCTAGAAGGTGTGATAAGTTACAGAGTTGAGGTATGGTTAAGTTCAGGTTCCAAAAATAGTGCCTAATTCGATTTTTTAGCTTCTTGGCAAACTCCTTTTATTGTAGAGGCACTACAACAAAGTAGGCAGAGAATGTTTGGCAGTTTGTAAATTTTGCTTTTCCCTATGTAATCTTTGAGCCTAATGGATTTGTGGCCTCTAAAAATTACTGCATGAAAAATCCTCTTTTCATTTGTTTGTTTACTTGTGGGAGCTAGCTACTGAGGTTACTGTGCTTTACACTGAGGTCTACTTTCCAGGATTGGGTGATATTTTTATAAATATAGATCAAGAAGTTGGTTCTTGACATCTTGCACAAACCCAGTCCAATGTGGTTCATTTAGCCAACCGTGGTTAAATAAACTGTGATGGATATATTTCCCACATTTTCCCAACTCTTGAGTTCAGGCAGGGAAGAGATTTCGGCTCCACACCTCTGGTATTAGAGTTGACTGAATCGGCAATAGCAATAGCACTTATATTTATATATTGATCCATAGTGTTTTACAGCACTCTCTGGTCAGATTACAGAGATACCATATTCTCCCCAACAATCTGGGTCCTCATTTTACGAACCTTGGAAGAATGGAAGGCTGAGTCGACCTTGAGCCCTATCAGGATCGAATTACAGATAGTGGGCAGAGTTTGCCTGGAATACTGCACTTTAACCACTATGCCACCCACAGTTATTTATAACCATTTGCCTTTTTTGAGAAAATGTGGAAAACAGGGTAGTATCCTATTTATTTATTTATTTATTTATTTATTTATTTATTTATTTTATGAGACTTATATACCGCTTTAAGTGCGAGCACTCTCTAAGCGGTGTACACCAGTAAGCGATGTGTATATATATATTTACATTGCCCCCAACAATCTGGGTCCTCATTTTACCTACCCCGGAAGGATGGAAGGCTGAGTCAACCTTGAGCCGGTGAGATTTGAACCGCTGACCTGCTGAACACAGTCAGCTAAAGTGGCCTGCAATACTGCACCCTAACTGCTGCGCCACCTCGACTCTTAATACTTAATCCTAATACTTAAAACTCAAAAAACTGAAAAAGCCAGGATGGGTCAAAATAAAAATGCATCTAAACGAGTTCAGTTAATGTTAATGACTTTAAATGTCATTAAAATTACAGCATTCATCATAAAAGATTTGGAGGACATTCCAGCAAGTGAGCCCTCTATGTTTTCTTGCTTAAATCTTAATAAATGAAAAGTGTTTCGTTTCAGTTGATAGAGTAGCTTCTTTCACAGATTTCACAAACTTCAGGTTTTTTGGGTTTTTTTTCTTTTCTTTCTCTTTTCCCTGAAAATCACAGGTAGTTTTCAATTTACAAGGCAGTTAGGACTGGAATTTCCACCACTAAGTGGTGCAGTCATAAAAATAACATTACTTAGCAATAGTAATCCTGGTTGTTAGCAATAGCATTAGCACTTAGACTTACATACCGCTTCACACTGCTTTACAGCCTTCTCTAATCAGCATATTGCTCCCAACAATGGGGGGGGGGTGTCCTCATTTTACCCATCTTGAAGGATGGAAGGCTGAGTCAACCTTGAGCCAGTGAGAATTAAACTGCTGACAGTCAGCAGAATTAATCTGCAGTACTGTAATCCAGGGGGTCCCCAACCTCTGGTCCATGGACCGTTATCGGGCCACAGCATGCCAGCAACCGGTCCACATAAACAAGCAAAGCCCCATCCACGGGATGCAGGCAGTAACCAAGCCCCCTCTGGTCTGCGAAAAAACCTCCCTCCATGTCCCTGGTGTCCAAAAGGTTGGGGACCTCTGCTGTACTCTAACCACTGCACCACCATTGCTCAGTGGTGTTAACTGAATCCCAGGTGATTAGGCAAAGCTTTCGACAACCAAATCAGTGGGGAAGCTTGCAAGAAGTTGCAAGTTCCAGGAGACTTGCAAGTGGTCTGTTGCAAGTAATTGGCAGTTGACAGGTGAGAGAGGGCATGTGGGGGGGGGGGAGAAAGTCAAGGGTGTGAAAGAGGCATGGGGAGGATCAAAGAGTATATTCAAGATGCATGAATGAGGGAGGCAAGGTTTGGGGAGGGTGCATGTATGGGGGAGACAACCTTCCCTGCTGGCTTTCCCATTGACTTTTTAGGGAAGCATTCAGGAAAGATTGCAAATACCAATCTTATAATCATGGAGTGTTGCAATTAGTCATAAAGGCAGTCTGATTGCCAAGCACCCATATTGTAGTCACATGACTGTAAAACTGCTAGGACAACTCCAAGGATCTGTAATAAGTACAATTCATTCAGCACCATCGTACCTTGGAACGGTTGCTGAACAACAGACAGATGCATATATTTTTTAACTCCTCTCTCTCTCCATTTAGAAAAAAATTGCACCAGTTTAAAAAGTCTCTCTTAAGCTGAGTTTAACTTAGGTGGACTATACAGGTAGTCCTTGACTTACTACCACAATTGAGTCCAAAATTTCTATTGCCAAGCAAGGCAGTTGTTAAATGAGTTTTGCCCCATTTTTCAACCTTTCTGATTACAGTTGTTAAGTGAATCACTGCAGTTGTTAAGTTAATATACGGTTGTTAAGTGAATCTGGCTTCCCTACTGATTTTGCTTGTCAGTAGGTCACAAAAAGTGATTACATGACCTGGACACTGAAACCACCATAAATATGAGCCAGTTGCCAAACGCCCAAATTTTGATCATGTGATCGTGGGGATGTTGCAACAGTCATAAGTGTGAATAATAATAATAATAATAATAATAATAATAATAATGTTGGAAGGGACCTTGGAGGTCATCTAGTCCAAACATAAGTCATTCTTTTCAGTGCTGTTGTAACTCTGAACGGTCACTAAATGAAAGGTTGTAAGTCAAGGATTAGTTGTATTATCCATGTAGCTTGCTGGAAAACAAGTTGGCAACTTTTTCCAAATGCTTTTTCCAGGATGTTCTTCAGTTTCTCAGTCTGTAGTCCTACATCCCTATTGTTTCCTCTCTACATAATCATCAGGACTGCAGTTTTGGAGATCAGGCCAGGTAGCTTGGTGCTTGGGAAAATAGAGTCTTTCCTTCGAGCCAAACTCTTGTAGCCTTTTGGAAAAGCACATCAGCAGTCTATTATTATTTCCTTCCAGGGTGTTTTTTAACTGCCCAGTCTAGCCTAACAGCTCTGAAATCTCCCGGATGGTCTCCCATCCAACCATAAACCAGATTAAGCCTTGTTTATTTCCCATGCCCAGGAAAGGTTGGTCAGTGCTAGCACTTGCTGAGATAGCATTGTTTAGTGCAGTGTTTCTCAACCTTGACAATTTTAAGGCATGTGGACTTCAACTCCCAGAATTCCACAGCCAGCATCTGGAAGTTGAAGTCCACATGCCTTAAAATTGTCAAGGTTGAGAAACACTGGTTTAGTGATAGTAAAGAATAAATAATAAAATAAACTGGAGAGCCAGTTTGGTTTAGTAGTTAAGACACTAGGCTAGAAACAGGGAGACAGTGAGTTCTAGTCCCACCTTAGGCATGAAAGCCACCTGAGTGATTTTGGGCCAAGCACTAGGAGACAGGGAATTCTAGTTCTGTCTTAGGCATGAAAGCCAGTTGGGTGACTTTGGACCAATCACCAAGAGATGTTGAGTTCTAGTCCCACCTTAAGGCATGAAAGCTGACTAGGTGACTTTGGACCAATCACCAGGAGATGTTGAGTTCTAGTCCCATCTTAAGGCATGAAAGCTGGCTGGGTGACTTGAATCAGTCCCTCTCTCTCTCTCAGTTCAACCTAACTCAAAAGATTTTTCCGTTGGGGAAAATAGGAGAAGGAAGGAATAATAAGATACGGTTGCTATCTTGAATTAGTTATACCAACAAAGTTGGGATTAAAAAAAACTAAAAGAAATGCCAATTCTTTTCTGCCTGGTATGCTGGATTTGGGTGATTTTTTTGCACATTGCACAATGGAGCTGGCCTCCTGAACCTCCATGGGGACTACAAGCATGGAATTTGGGGAGCACCTTTTGGGCAACCTCACCATGAGTACTGCAAGCCTTGTAGCTGTCACAAATCACCGGTTGACCGGACTCCTGCTAAACTTTCAATTGCAGACTTCCAAGTCACTTTCTTAAGAAAACACAGAGGAAGCTGGGAGGCCCCAAGGAACAGGGCTCTATCTTGGGAGCCCAAATAATAATTTACAAGTAATTTATTTACAGATTTACTTGTAATTTAATTGTAAAATAATGTGCAAATATGATTTGAAACAATCAGATTGGTTTGCTCTCTCCCTGTAGTTACAGGTAATTTTCGACTTTAAGACCACAGTTGAGACCAAAACCTCTGTTACTAGACAAGACGGTTGTTAAATGAGCCATGCCCAATTTTGCAACCTTTTTTTGTCACCGTTGTTAAACGATCCACTGCAGTTGTTAAGTGAATCACATGGTCATTAAACAAATCTGGTTTCCCCCATTGACTTTGCTTCTCAGAAGCTGCTTGGGAAGGTCACAAATAGTGATCCTGTGATACAGCAACTGTCATAAATACATGCCAGTTGCCAAGCACCTGAAATTTGATCATGTGACCATGGGGATGTTGTGACAATTGTCCTAAGTTCCTTTTTTCAGTGCAACCGTATAACTTTGAACGGTTGCTAAATGAGTGGTCATAAGTCGAGGACTACCTGTACATCGATTGGAATGCAGACCCAACACCCACCAGCAAATGCTGCATCCCTTGTGTTTATGGGAATTGTAGTCAGATCTGTCCGGGATATCCTTGCAAAGGCTGACCCTGGAATCCATTCCCAAATTCTACCTTTTAGCCAGGATTTGATTCAACTTTTGTTCCTTATATATTAGCATTTCCCAGCCTGGATAGAATCCAGCTGGGTAAGCTTCAGATCCCAGAATTCTCAGCAATGACCGTGCTGGCTGGGGGGATTCTGGGAATTAAAGTCCACACATTGGAAACTCTGTAAATGAAGGTTTTTGTGCTGGTGCCCTGTTACTTTGGCTTAGGATGGTTAAGTCTGTTAAAAGAAAATAGTAACTGCAAGTTGATTTTCCTTTCTTTTTTCTCCTCTTCTTCTTCAGAAAGAAATTCAAGCAATGAGTCAGTGCCACCATCCAAATATAGTCTCATACTATACTTCTTTCGTGGTGAAAGATGAACTTTGGTTAGTGATGAAGCTCCTAAGTGGAGGTAAGTTTTCTGTGAATTCTGCTGCTGTTTGTTCTGGTTTGTCGCTATAAAAAGGGATTTTAAGATGCAGATCTATTTCTTACTTAAATCAATAACAACAATACCTTCTCTGGTAGAATATGTTTGCAGGTTGATTAATACCCTCTATCTATTTCTTACTTAAATCAATAACAACAATACCCTCTCTAAGTAGAATATGTTTGCAGGTTGATTAATTTTAAAGATTTTCATGACTTGCAGTTTGTAGATCAAACCAGGGATAAGACAAACTTCCAGCCTATTAGGGCAAATATAAAAAGCATTGTCTCATCCAGATGTTTGATACACAGGGATATTAATTGGCTAAATGAAAATGTAGATATAGGTAGTGCTCAATTTACAACTGATCAAAGTTATGACAGATCTCTCTGGGGGTATTTAGGGCCCAGTTCTGAAGATCCGACAGCTGCCTCTCCACAGTCATGTGGTCACACGTTGGGTACCCAGCAACAAATGGATTTATGTCCATTTATAGTGTCCTACAGTCATGTGACTGAATTTCATGACAGATTTGCTGAAAACTAGTATTTACTTCTGTTTTTGTAAGAGCCAGGCTGACTCTGCCCACAGCCAGCAGTTCAATCCTGACCAGTTCAATCTTGACTCAACCTTTCGTCCTTCCAAGCTTAGTAAAATGATGACCCAGATTATTGGGGGGCAATGTGCTGACTCTGTAAACCACTTAGAGAGGGCTGTAAAGCACTATGAAGCAGTATATATGACTAAGTGTTATTGCTATTTTCAGCAAATCTGGCCTGTAGCAAACCATTGGTTTATTTAATGGCTGCAGTGTTTGCTTAACAATTGTAGCAACTCCTTCACAATAGCCACATTCTCTGAAAGGCAGCTGCAACAAAGATGGTGAAAATAAATTGGTCATGGGGGTGCTCCAACATCATCAGACTGTAAGTAAATTAATTTGAATTGCTGGGAATCAAGCTATATTTGGGAGATAGGAGAAGTCAATTTATTTGTAGAAGTTTCTTGAACTAGCAAAATGACCTCACTTTTGATTTTCAAAAAGGCTGTTAAAGTAGAGCTAAAATAGATTCTGAGTTTCAGGCTTTTGATAATAACATTATGATTTATTCATGCGCTGTTTGGGGATTGTTCTTTGATAATTGCTGTTCTTCTTAAGTGAAGGCCTCATAAGTGCTTTGAGAGTGTGGCTGAATTCAAATATAGCAAAGAAATGGATAAATAATAGATTATGTGTGTAGTTGCCTCAATTTTTCCTAATCTATGCAGAGTATTGTGCTTTGAGAGTTTGATGAGATAAACTCTCCCTGACAATTGAATGGCACGGAAAATATTGAAGCATTAATGTTTTAAAACAAGACAGCTTTAAAACTATATGTGGGCTTGAAACATACTTGGTAGTTAATATACCATAGGAAAACATACAGGTAGGTGGTCCTTACAACTGTTTTTTAGTTGAAGTTACAATGGCACTGAAAAAAGTGACTTATGACCACTTCCCACACTTATGACCATTGCAGCATCCCCATGGTCAGAGAATCAAAATTCATCCGCTTGGCAACTGACTCATATTTATGACAGTTGCAGTGTCCTGGAGTCACGTGATCCGTTTTTGTGACCTTTTGACAAGTAAAAGTCAATTGGGAAGCCAGATTCACTTGACAGCTGTGTTACTAGCAGAACAACTGCAGTGGTTCACTTAACAGATGTGACAAGAAAAGGTTGTAAAAATGGGGCAAAACTGACTTAGCAAATTTCTCACTTAGCAACATAAATGTTGGGCTCAATTGTGGTCATAATTTGAGGAACACCTGTGGTTTCATTTTGTCCTGATTGTGCCTTTATGTAAGACTGTTTTCCCTAGATACAGGTATATTTGCTTTTTTGATTTAGCAGGCACCTTGAAGCTGTTTTGGAATAGCCGTCCCAAAGGTGCTTTTTTGTTTGTTTGTTTGTTTCCAAAAGGCAAGTGGACTTTCTTTGTTTTTCAGTCAGAATTAAAGAAGCTTCTTGGATGAGAAGCGAAACTTCTTCAAGGAAGAATAAAAGAAGTCCAGTTGCCTCTTGAAAAAGAGTCACCTTTGGGACAACCCTGACCTGGATAGACAGAGAATCTCCATAGACATGTCTTGGAATGGAATAACTTCCTCTCTCCCTGCTACTGCTCCTTCTTTCATCTTGTAATCATAGGTTGATCCTCCAGGTATCTGCTTAATCTCTTAACATATTGGTAGCCCTTGCAATATAGTTTTGAGTTACAGGTAGTCCACAACTTGCCCCATTCATTTAGTGACCATTCAAAGTTACAAGGGGACTGAAAAAAGCGACTTGGGACTGTTTTTCACACTTAATGACCATTGCAGCACCCTCATGGTCACATGATCAAAATTCACATGCTTGGCAACTGGAAGCAATGGATAGAAACTAACCAAGGAGAGAAGCAACCTAGAACTAAGGAGAAACTTCCTGACAGTTAGAACAATCAACCAGTGGAACAACCTGCCTCCAGAAGTGGTGAATGCTCCAACATTGGAAGTTTTTAAGAAGAGACTGGACAGCCATTTGTCTGAAATGGCATAGGATTTCCTGCCTGAGCAGGGGGTTGGACTAGATGACTTCCAAGGTCCCTTCCAACTTTATTATTATTAGTATTAGTATGGTTGCAGTATCCCTGGGGTCGTGTGATCCCCTTTTGTGACCTTCTGACAAGATAAGCCAATGGGGAAGCCAGATTCACTTAACAGCAGTGTTACAACTTAGCAACTGCAGTGATTCACTTAATAACTGTGGCAAGAAAAGTGATGAAACAGAGCAAAACTCGCTTAGCAACTGTCTCGCTTAGCTCAAAAATGCTTTTTCAAAAGGCAGCTGGACGGTTTATTTTGTTTAGCAACAGAAATGTTGGCCTCAACTCTGGTTGTAAGTCAAGGACTACTTTCATTGTTGAAAAAAGGAACCAAAGCTCCACTTTTGACATGGGAAATTGTGCAGCGCTAATCCCTGCATTATTTTTCTTTTTTTTTAAAAAAAAAAACACTAAACAACTGTGTAATCCGAATGTTAAATACAAGCCTTTCAGCATCTCCTGATAAGCTTTGTAGAAACTGGTTCTTTGAAGAAATTGGAATCTTTTGTAGGAAGAGATTTACTCATATCTTGTTCAGCAGGAAACATTCGACATACACGAATTTCCACATGGACAGGTAATAGGAGGTTGTTGTTGTTGTTGTTAATTGCGAAGTCGTGTCCGACCCGTCGCGACCCCATGGACAATGTTCCTCCAGGTCTTCCTGTCCTCTACCATCTTCTGGAGTCCATTTAAATTCACACCTACTGCTTCAGTGACTCCATCCAGCCATCTCATTCTCTGTCGTCCCCTTCTTCTATTGCCCTCAATCTTTCCCAACATTAGGCTCTTCTCCAGTGAATCCTTCCTGCTCATTAGGTGGCCAAAGTACTTGAGTTTCAACTTCAGGATCTGGCCTTCTAAAGAGCAGTCGGGGTTGATCTCTTCTAGGACTGACCGGTTTGAACGCCTTGCAGTCCAAGGGACTCGCAGGAGTCTTCTCCAGCACCATAGTTCAAAGGCCGCAATTCTTTTGCGCTCAGCCTTTCTTATGGTCCAACTTTCACAGCCATACATTGCAACTGGGAAAACCATGGCCTGGACTATACGCACTTTTGTTGGCAGGGTGATGTCTCTGCTTTTTAGTATGCTGTCTAGATTTGCCATAGCTTTCCTCCCCAGGAGCAAGCGTCTTTTCATTTCTTGGCTGCAGTCCCCATCTGAGGTGATCTTGGAGCCCAGAAAAATAAAATCTGTCACTACCTCCATTTCTTCCCCATCTATTTGCCAGGAATTGAGAGGGCCGGATGCCATGATTTTGGTTTTCTTAATGTTGAGTTTCAAGCCAACTTTTGCACTCTCCTTCGTCACCCGCATCAAGAGGTTCTTTAGTTCCTCTTCACTTTCTGCCATTAGAGTGGTATCATCTGCATATCTTAGGTTGTTGATATTTCTCCCGGCAATCTTAATTCCAACTTTTGATTCATCTAGCCCTGCCTTTCTCATGATGTGTTCTGCATATAAGTTAAATAGACAATATACAGCCTTGCCGGACTCCTTTTCCAATTTTGAACCAATCAGTGGTTCCGTGTCCAGTTCTCACTGTTGCTTCTTGACCCGCATATAGGTTTCTCAAGAGACAAATAAGATGGTCTGGTATTCCCATCTCTTTAAGAACTTGCCACAATTTGTTGTGATCCACACACTCACAGGCTTTAGCATAGTCAATGAAGCAGAAGTAGATGTTTTTCTGGAACTCCCTAGCTTTCTCCATGATCCAGCGTATATTGGCAATTTGATCTCTAGTTCCTCTGCCTCTTCGAAATCCTGCCTGTACTTCTGGTATTTCTCAATCCACATACTGCTGGAATCTAGCTTGTAGGATTTTAAGCATAACTTTACTAGCATGTGAAATGAGTGCAATGGTGCGATAGTTTGAACATTCTTTGGCATTGCCTTTCTTTGGAATTGGAATTTAAACTGACCTTTTCCAATCCTGTGGCCACTGTTGAGTTTTCCAAATTTGCTGGCAAATTGAGTGTAGCACTTTTACTGCATCGTCTTTTAAGATTTTGAATAGCTCAGCTGGAATACTGTCACCTCCACTAGCTTTGTTGTTGCTCAGATTTTCTAAGGCCCATTTCACTTCACATTCTAGATGTCTGGTTCGAGGTCAGTAACCATCTCATTGTGGTTATCTGGGACGTTAAGCTCATTCTCATATAGTTCTTCTGTGTAGTTTTGCCATCTCTTCTTAATCTCTTCTGCCTCTGTTAGGTCCCTGCCATTTTGGTCCTTTATCATGCCCATCTTTGCATGAAAAGTTCCCTTCATATCTCCAATTTTCTTGAAGAGATCTCTGGTCCTCCCTATTCTGTTGTTTTCTTCTATGTCTTTGCACTGTTCATTTAAGAAG